AGCATTATTTAAAATGGCCAAACTGTCTTTAGAATTGGATGTTTTTTAATGATTTTTTCAATTCTCCTGGTGCAGATCAGGCTCCTGTTGCAGGCAGAGAGGAAAAGGACAGCTGTGTCTGCCTAACACAATCACCGTTGTCTCTGAAGTTGTGCTTTGCAAATGCTGCTTCCCTTTATTAAAGAGGAGATTTATCAAAGGGAACATAGGGGTTGGAGATATGGCGTAAAGTTAGGAAATAGAGAAAGCAAACATAATTTTGTCTGCAGTGCACTGGGTCTTTGAATATTGTAATAGGTTAATTGGATCATAGAAAGGTTGTTTTCTGAAGCGCAGTGCAGGTTATGAAGGATAACAGTTTCCCAATGACACGGATGAAGTTTGTTTTGTGGGCATGAAATTCAATAATGGAAAGCTTTTAATAAATATATAATTTACAGAAGACCAAACCTTACATGACAAATGTAGTGTCATATTTAATTTGGGTTGCTAGCATGCAGCTAGGAGTGATCTACGGATTAACCGTTTGTTTTGCACGCAGATGGTGCAGAAATCCCTGTGGAAGCTACGGACCTCCTGACAGGAGCACAAGGAGCAGGACTAGCACCGTTTCCTGGTGCTGTCCCTTTTCTTTCTATCCTAAGGAGTCTATTTAAATAGTAAGATCACAAATAATAGTGTTTTGAGCTGCAATTGCTCTGGCAATCTTCTGCATCTGCAGCAGAGCAGGTGCAAGGTGACCTCTTCCAGCAGCACGGAGCCTGCAGGTGCAATGCTATCAGAGAAGAGCAAGGAAAGCCCAGGATAGCAGCTAAAGTGAGGGCAGAAAAGCATGTTTTTGCTTATGAGAACCTAGGTTCACTTACACTGCTTCCTACAAGCCTGATGTTCCCAGTGTCTGGAATAGGAAAATTACTCATGACTTTCCTTTCTGACTCCTGGGCAGGTGGTCCTGGGTTACTGCTAGCTAATAACATGCTTTTCTGTGTGATACTTAATATTCTGCACCACAAGAAAAGGGCCACTGAATATCTGAGTGGTTCTTGGCTTTTGCTATAGTGGCAGGAGCTGAGGCCTGTTTGGCATGGGACCCCCTTGGAAAGTTTTTGTGCATAATTTATGCTTTTATGAATTGTCATGTTTGTTGGCTATGACTTGTATTGAGGTCAAACCACTGCTGCTCTCCTGAGCAGGTCAATTAATAGCTCCATGAAATGCTGTGGGGTGTGATAGGAAGGTCTTGGTGCTGCCACTTCTCCTGGGGCAGCCAAGGCTTGGTGTCCCCAGGACTGGAGCTCCTCTTCCCCTTTTTTGCCCCAATGTTGTGTTCTCCTTTTCTCCATCCTGTCTGTGACTGCTGCCTTCTCTGCCTGTTCACACATCTCCATTGTCTCTGTGTCCATACTCTCCTGTCCCCCTTGGCAAACTCCACCTCGGTCAAGCTCCTGAGCAGGTCAATTAATAGCTCCACGAAATGCTGTGGGATGTGATAGGAAGGTCTTGGTGCTGTCGCTTCTCCTGGGGCAACCAAGGCTTGGTGTCCCCAGGACCGGAGCAGCTCAATTGCTCCCCTTCCCCTTTTTTGCCCCAATGTTGTGTTCTCCTTTTCTACATCCTGTGACTGCTGCCTTCTCTGCCTGTTCACACATCTCCATTGTCTCTGTGTCCATACTCTCCTGTCCCCCTTGGCAAACTCCACCTCGGTCAAGATGCATAGGCAATACTACCAAACCGACCTTCCTTTAGCTGAATGTTCTCAAAGCACTGATTTGTGTCACGGGTGGATTAATGCTTTTCAGCAATGGATGTGGAGTGTGTGTGTGTGGGGGGGAAACAAAGAAATAGAAATTGATTTTTCTCCATATCTCAGCAGTGCCTTGCCTATTGTGCAGTCCCTCATCCTTCCTAAAGCCTTCCACCAGTGGTTCATAAGGGTTTGAGAATTCATTGCTACTTAATAATAGCAATTGGTTGTAACTCCATTAGCTCAGTCAACAATTATCTGTAGCCAAAGGCATCTGTTATTCACATAGTTAAGGCAGGGTGCACATGATGTCTTGTCCAGCTGCTATGTTAATAGTGATCTCCTATATTCAGTAAGTCATTTTAGTTCCCTTTCTGTTAGGGATGGGGTTTACCTTGACATCACAGTAACAATTTACCATAGATGATTACGACTTGCTTATGTCTGAAGTATAAATGACAATAAATCCACTAGTAGCTTGCCGGTAAATGGAAATACTTCATCTTTTTGTGTGTGTTTTTGTTTTTTTCAGTTTTGTTTTCTGCAGTTGACCTGAAAAAATAAATATTTTCCTGTCAGAGTGGTGTCGTGAGTCAGACAAGAAATCTTTCTGCTTCCCTGCAATGACACCTAAAGCATTTGTTTACTTTCTAGCCTTTAGAGAGAGATTGACTGAAAAACCACACTTTTGCTTTGAACGTGTTGCATTGGATTTCTTTGAAATTCTCGTGGAATAATCCCAACCTGTATATTTTTACATTTCAGGGGCCCAAAAAGGGGAAGTAGCCCTAATGAATGGGCTAACTGTTAATCTGCACCTCCTGCTGGTATGTCCTTACAATGCTTATGGGATACTGTGCTGACAAAATAGTGTGCATTGACTTGGGGACAGCCTTTTGTAGGGACCTCTTAGATGGCTGCATGGGACAATGACCTAACATTTTGTAAGTTTTTTGGAGTTGTATCTGACAGGAGACGTCATCTATGTTTTGACTCCTTTCAAAGGGAAGAATGATGTGGGAGCTAATGGGCAGAGCAGGGAAATACATGGTTAGTCCCATCTTCCTTGGCTTCAGCAAAAGCTTTGCCATTGATCCCTCCTGGAGCCCACTTTCACTGTTGGATTTTTGTGGTCTTTGTTACAGGTCAACAAAATCAAGTATTATAATGCTTTTCTGCTTTGATAAATGTTATATGAGCACAGAATTATTTGCTAGTCTTGGGCAATTCTTTGCAGCCTGCGTAAAGTAGTCCTTACTAAGTTATGTACTAGAAGCATCTCTGATTTGCCTCTGCTCAGATGTTTAATGTATCTTTTTTTGGTTTTAACAGCTATCTTTTTTTAAGCCTACATCAAGACGCTATAAAATTCTTCTAGAAACGAAAGCCTTTCCCTCTGACCATGTAAGAAATTAATATTTCACCATATTTATATTATTAATCATATTTTTCCAAAGAATATCAGTAGCCCGATTTGAATATTTATTAGCTCATCTTGTCCAAGTAACATTACAATAAAAAAATCTGTCAGAAGCCTTTGAGCTCAGCATATTTTACAGATTGTAGCTTTATTCCTTTGTTCAAATAAAAAAATGTTACAAGAGGAAAAGATTGAATGGGTACATTGATTTATTAGTCTTTTTAAAGACATTGAGCAAACTGCTGGCCTAAATCAACTGAAGTTGTAAATGTTTTATTAATTCTTGTTGCTGTTTTACTTTATGAAACCAAATCAATACAAACTCACAACATTAATGCTTATATATCCCCAGACAGAGATGGAAATGTTTGTTCTTAGCACTTTAGATTACTAGTTCAAACAATTTGTGTGCTATAAGATGGGAGACAATAGCCCGTGCATTGGAGCTTAGAGCAAATTAATCTTTTGGTTTGTGGCCTGCTGCTACTTTATCATCAACTCGGTAAACTCCTGGAAATTGATAACAAATTTCACCTCTAAGGTGCAATAAAAATGGCTCAAACTACTAACAGGTTTATTTGTAATGAAGATGGCGGCACAGATATATGCAATTGAAATTACCTTTATTTGAAGTGATGCAGATCCCAATGTTACTTTTACTCCAAGTGTGCTGGTGCATCCCTCCAGTTAAATTTCTGTAACACCTCAGAACTTCCTATGCACCAGCAGTCGCTTCCATTCCTGCCATGTAATTTTAAGCTCTTTTATAATGTTGTTTTTTGCCTTCTCCAAAGCCTTATTGAGCAATAAAATCATTGAGGGTTTAGAGGTCTCATTTCCCCCCAGATGTGCAGCCAATTGAAGATGGAGCCTAGCATGTACCAGCATGCCAAACCCTTCCAAATCAAAGCAAACTTAAGACGTTCTCCTGGATTAGGATTCCATGTGTTAGTTTTAGTGAAAGGCAGGCTTCTGAGTCCCTTTTGTTGAAGATGTGAATGTGCTTGGCTGCTCTTCTGTTGTTGTTTTATCGTTTAATTGCACTGACACGCACTATGTGGGCGTTTCTTGCAGTATGCGGTTGAATCCCAGCTCCGACTTCATGGACTTGATGTGGAGAAATGCATGCTCATGATGCATCCACGGGAGGTTGGTGAGGAGGAGCAAGGACTTGTGATTTTAGTAGCAGATGCATATTTTGGAGCAGTGTTGTCATATGCCCTTAGACATTTCAGTGTGTCTGCCTGCATGAGTTAACATCTCTATTTTGTCTAATGCTTTCAGTTAGATTTCATGCATTGTGCATTCTGTTTGTGTGTTCTTTGATATTGAAACCCATTTTATAATCGTCTAGTTCAACTAGCACATTTGCCCTAAAGAACAAAAAGATATTCCCCCCCACTATTTTCCCTGTTTGCAATAGCAGACAGCATCCTAAGAGAACTGCAGAATGGAGCAGTTCATCGGTTCATTCAAAAGCCCCAATGTCCTTTTAGTGTCCTAACAAAAAATTGCCTTGACAAGAGCACCACTGTATCTTGATCAGCATGGACTAAGGGAAAGGTCTGCTTGGAGTAATATGCAATTCAGATGTGTGTGAGAGATTGCCTTGCTTCTCTTTCATGGTATTAAAAACTTTGCCACCTAACTATAAACTGATGGTGACCTTTTGTTTCTGAAATCTGAGTCATCTTGTGAGTAAAGAGCCTACTCCTGAATGCTTGATAGATTTGCAAAGATTGTTGGGATAATAACAGTTGCTTTCAATTCAACAATCTTTCTGCAGCTCTTTTCAGTAGCAAGTCTAATTTAATTCTGTGTTTTCACACCCTAATTGATCCCTAGGTGGTGGCTTGTTTTACACAGTCCTGCTAGGAAGGCGAGGGGAGGATGGGGCAGTAATTTTCCTGTAAAGAATCAAAAGTGAGGTTTTTTTTTTGGTTGAAATTCTTCTATATTTAATGACTCCAGGTTTGGGGATTTTTGTACTTTTGATGATGTGAGGCTTATTGTCTTTGAAATATAAATATGGCAGGTTTATAATAGCTTCCTGGGGGATATGAAGTTTATCAGAAAAGTACAGAGTGAAACTGATAGACAACTTAAGCCTTGTGGGTGTCACAAATTTCAGATGCCACAAAAAATGATGTATACTGTTTGCACCAAGTTTTTTTAATACTGTAAGTGAAAACTGTCAGAAATATTAAAGAATGGGGAGCATGACAGAATACGAAGTGAATAGACTTTTTAAGAGTGGCACCTTCAAGATAAGTTTGCTAATTATTTTTAATTCCCCTCCACCCAAGTAACCTACTGATGGGCTACTTCATGGCACTACCTTTGTATATAATTACCATGCTAAGGGGTTGCCTTTGATCTTGTGCAAGCAGCATGGCTTATAGTAAAATATAGATTATGAAATAAGAAACGACAGTTTCATTACTGCCAGGGCTGATGTAAAACGTGTGCTTTAACTTTGTTTTAGGGGGAGGAGACCTTGAGAATTGAAGATATCCTTGCTGTAATTGAGAAAGAAGGGGACTCTATTGCTGTAATTCTGTTCAGCGGAGTGCAGTACTACACAGGACAGCTGTTCAACATCCCCAGAATAACAAAGGCTGGCCAAGAAAAGGTACAAATGCTCCCAAACTGTCCTCCTAACAGTTTTAGATCCATTTTCCTCGTGAAATATTTTTATAGTGGAAATATTTCCACTTTTTGTGAAACCTAAACTATTTTTGTGACCTAAACTATGTGGAGAGATTATTCATGACTATTCACCTTCTGCTGGGCTGTTCAAGAACAGAATCTCAAGAAGTTTGGGGAAGAGGAGGTGGTGATCATAGCTCCAGGCTCTCTCTAAAGGTTGGAGTAGCTTGTGTCAGACCTGTGCTTTTCAAGAGGCTTTCATGCTCTTCCACTGCTCCTGCCCTGCTGCTGGCAGCTGCTATCACAGCTCTTTTCCTCCAGCCAGCGGGGCAGGGGAGCTCCCCGCAGAGCCGGCTGCGCTCCGGCTCAGCCGAGCAGTTTTCCGGAGACGGGCGCAATGTGGAGTCCATCAGCTTCACAGGAGGACTGTGTTTTAGTGATGACTCAGCTGCAGGAACTTGCAGACAGCGTGTGAGAGATTTTACTCTATGGACATAGCTGTAAAACTTTTTTTAACAGTCTGCATTGCCTCAGGTATCCAGGAGAAAATAGCTTTTAATCAAGTCATCTTATCAAAAAGAGGTCACTGGGCTCTCTAGATGGGCCATTTTTTATTGCCCATGCCTTATCTCATCTAAGATTAAGTTACTCAAGACAAAAGTTTCTTAGTATTCCTGGATTTCTGCAAACCAGCTAATTGTTTGTTTTAACTCTAGGGAGGTTACTGGCTCACACTGGAGTACATGCCAGCTCATATAGTTTGGCAGGGGATGTTTTTCTGGAGGTCAGAGTAAGTTATGCTGGTGTAAAGTGATGGTAAGGTCTCCCTTGGGAGACCAGAGCAGGTGCAAGAGTTAGTGCATGTTCCATGTGATGTAAAAGTGAGTGATATGTTCTTGCTGAGCAGCATCTAGCAACAAAGTGGCTCTTGGACAAGGTACAAGACCAGCTCCTGAGATGGATGCAGAACTGAGTATGTATTAGATGAATGTTGTGCTAAAAATGACATCTTCATAATGCTTTCCTTGAGGGTCTGCAGTCCTGCTCTGAAAATAAATAAAGGCCATGCCGAAAAGTTTGCCGAAAGGGAAGGTAGACTATTCATAGGATGATGCCACCCAACTCTGTGCTCGCTCTTGCTCCTGGTGACTGCAAAGCTTTTGTTCCCCAGCCAACGCCTACGCATGTACCAGGCTGCCTCTCCAAAATCTGCTTGCTCGATGATGTGTCTGAAAGGTGTCTGGGGAGAAATTTTTCTCATACTGTAAATATGAACAACCTGGGAAAAGCCTCTCACTTCCACACCTCCCTAAAGATGCTCTCCAAACCCTGGGCCACATGCTCAACAAACAAAGTTCTGCAGTTTCTCTGAAAGTTATAAACTGACCCAAATTGGACGAGGGTCCCTCCTCTAGAGTTTAAAAAAGAGTTACTTGTACTTCATTGTATGGTGCAAAAAGGAGTTTGATGTTTATATTATCTGAGAAGATGACCAGAACTGGGCAGAGAAAGCTTAAAAACTGTTCCTGAGGTAATGCTGAGGACACTGGAGAGGACTAACTCTTTACGAAAGAATCCAAATGTGACATGAGGTGGTGCTCTGTCCTCGTGTCTTGCTTTTGGCCTGTTGCCCACATCTCTGCGGTCTCTTTTCAAGAGATTTCAAAAAGTATGTTTATATATATACGTATTTATATCTTAATTACCACCTTATTGTAGTTAGTACTTCAGCCTCTGATCTGGGTGACTTCATGGAAGGTGAATCATCACATGCATATTTAAACATATATATATATATATGACTGAACTACTTGGATACCTAGAAAACTTTAAAAAATTAAACCAGCCCAGTAGTTGTTCTCCTCCTGTCAGACATGCACATTTCAATGCATTTATGGATTCTGCTGTCTGCGTTAAGTGATATTGAGCTGTTTGTACAAACCACTATGTATCATACAGTTATAGCACACTTAAACATCACATAGTGTAAATATTTACTCAAATAGCCATTAAATCAGCAGAGTTTGCAATTTTAATAGTGATAATAATTTATACTGTGTCTTGCTCCCAAAATAAAATGCTCTGTCTTTGAAGTGATTGGCTGCTCTCTTCTCAACCCAGGCAGGGCTGATGCTGGCAGCTCTTGTGTTTGAGGAGTGCTGAACCAGAGAGGCTCAGGGAGGAGGGAGTGTGATGCAAAGGCCTTCCTGCTCAAGAAATCTGAATTTATTTAGCTGAAGATCCTGAATGCTTTCATTTAATCTAGAGCTTTTTGTCCTTATTCTAGAAAATGGCTAAACCTCTAATGCAATGCTGCTACTGAAGAATGGCTTTTTATATATATTTTGTTTTGTTTTATTTTTAAGATTATGAAGCAAACTGGAGGTGTGGAGACAGCACGTGCTGTCTCATCTGTGAGATACCTGGCAATAGCAGTGATCACAAACTGGCAGTGGCATGTGCTAAATGAAGCAGTTGGATGTGGTGGCAGGCAAGGATGTGGTGGCTTCATTTGCCTTGGACTGCTCCCAGATGAGTGGCTATTTCTCCTTCATAAGGCCTTTTTCGGAATGCTAAGAGATACTACATTCAAGTGCTCTTGCTCAGTGGATGTGGTGCATGTTGCTATACCAGGTATTTCACCTTGTTGGAAAATTAATCTAATTGATGGAGAGTGCAGGTTTGTGGATGCCATTCAGATCACTGGATGGATGTGACTTTACTGCCTGCTGAATTAGTTAGCAGCAACATGTGCTGGCTTAATTTCACCTCTGCTGTTCAGCCTCTACGCCCAGACTTGCATTTTTCAGGATAGTAAACGTGGGCTGAAAGGCTATGTTTAAGAGCTACCTTCAAGAGCTTCTAGAGCTGAGACAACCAGTTGGGGTTGTAATAAGTCTCATGCAAGATGTTGTATTATCATAGAAACTCTGAAATCCTTTAAAATCTGTTCTAAAAGAGGATTCAACCCAAGAAAGTTATGTTGATAGGGAAGGTACAAGGCTTGCCCTACTAATGATGACTGAATGCTCTTGAACAGAAAATACATTGGGGAGAGGTGATAAACAGGCAACTAAGATGGGGAACATTCAAGGTAGAAGTGTCATTTGAGTAGGGAAGGAAAGCTTGTCAACTAGCATAGCAAAGTTCTACAGAGATAGTCTGGGCAGTTCTTTTAATGTACAATCTAAGTAGGATCCTGCAGTGTTGTAGCTGTTTAGTTCTGGCTAGAGATCTGAGTTGCAAGTGCAGTCTGGAAAATGTCCTCAAATTCATAAGGTCAGTTATTTATGAATTAAGTTACTGACTTCCTTTTACATTTTTAAGCCAATTTCCTAAGTTCTCTGCGTATGTTAAGGTTCCTCAGAGTGAAAGCTCTGCACATAGACAGCTTCATTAAGTCATTAAATATTAAATGAACTAAATTAAGCTTGAAAAATTACTTCTGGCTATTTTTCCATCTACGTCTCCTGGATAAATCAAAATTACTATGTATTGTGCCAAAGACTCAGCAGCAGCCTGAAGAGGCTTTAACAGTTTTCCTTGTTTCATATTTTGTGCTTGCTTTAGAGGAGGGGGGTCGTCTGAGTCATTTCGCTACTTTTCAAGTGAAGAAATGGCTGACTTCTAGGGCACTAGCTTTCAAGTACAATTTTCATAAGTTAGATTGAACTTTCAACTGACTCTGCATAGTATGTAAAGTATTTTAATCTCCCGAGTCCCAGTAGGAAGAGCTTTAAGATCCTTCATCTTCATTTCTTTCCTGTCTCTCCTTCTAAATGTCCCAGCTTTGCTTGTATGAGGCTGTCATTTCTCTCCCTCTCTCCAAATGTCATTGTCCATGCTGAGTTGTTACCTGCTGATTATCAGCAGCCATCCAGACACGCTGCAGAAATGACTTTTAGATGTTAAAATAAAATGGAAGAGGCAGGGGAGAGCACCAGTCCTCTGCTTTGCCCACGCCAGATGGAGAGCTCTGTTTATTCCCATAGTTTGGGGAAGTGACATTCCCACGCAATCCCTGTTCGGCTTATTCAGGAAGAGCCATTTTGGTTTGTTTTACTTACAATATGCAATCTGTGTGACTAAACATTTGCTGTTCATGAAGCTTGAGTGCCAGACACTCTTCTCCTTCCTGGGGAAGGAAAGCAGTGCAATGCGTTTTGCAGATGACAACGTGAGCAAAATGGTATGAGTGGTCTTTTCCAAGGTCATGCAGGAAATCTGCTGGTGCTGGATTTTCAGGCTGCACCAGCTGGGTGCTGGTGCTGGATTTTCAGGCTGCATTGAATTAGTAAATCAAGCAGCATCCAGACGTTGTTGAGCAATTTCAGAGGGGAGACCAGCTACCATCCTCCAGGTTTATGTCCTAGTGGGTGGCCATCCTAGGGAAAGCTAGGAGAGCAGCAGAGACGGTGCAAACTTGTCTGTCCCAGGTGGTTTTGGAGCCCCCGAGCACTTGTGACAGGGTTTGGTCTGTATGTATGATGCCTCTTTCTAGTATTGGGGGTTGCAAGGGCATTCTACCTTCTCATATCTCAGGGAGTTTTGTCCTACCTCTCTGATCTTCTCAGTTTGGCAGTCATCTACTTTTTTTTTTTTTTTCCTTTGTCACCTTCTGTTGAAATGTTTTTTAATAGAGCATATCACTTGCAGACAGGGAAAAGGCTCAGCTGAAAAAAAAAGTGAAAAACAGCTGATTGTAATATGGTAATTACTGCAGAATTGCTTTCTTTTTTAATGAGAAGCTACCTTTTTAAAAAAATTTGTTCAGATATTGCCAGACATGCATTCTGCCAGTCTGTCACAATGTTTCTCATTTCCTTTGCAACCAGTGAATTTCTGGCAGAAGTTTGAAAGGTTTGTGTGGGACATGTGCAAAGGGATACCCACAAATATTAAAATTCAGTCAACTGAAGCTTTGCAGTTAATGTCTTAAAATGCTAAGTTAAGGAAGTTTTCCCAGAATTTTAAGACATTATTCAGAAGCAGGTTGCCTTTATTTTGCTGTAGCTTATTTCTCTGAAGCAAGGCCATCTTACTACTGAATGAGAGCATTCTCCTGGGGCTCCATTGTGCTTAAACTTCTCTGAATTAACTTCACAATTTCAGTTGGTTTGTCTTAATTTACTTCTGCGTGTCCCTGTGAAGACTGAGCACTATGGATGCAAAGGTAAGGATGTTTATTGGGACCTTGATTTTGTGCAATAGCGAAAGTTTATGTTGTGCAAATGCTGAGGCAGTGAGTTTTCTTATTTTGGATTATAACTTATCCAAACTTAAACTGCTAACTTCATTAGCACCTCCATGAGAATTAGTATGTCACATCATCTTAAAATGCTGCTTCATTCAAATAGTTATAGTTTATATAGGAGATTAAATACACCAAAGTACTGTTTAAATAATTTAGTTGAGACTCCCTTGGTGCAAGAAACAGCAAGAGACTTAAGAAAAATCCTTTGTTTTATTATTGGACCTAGATGTTTTTGAAGCCTATGCTCTCACTCTTATTCCTACCATGCTGTCTGCAAGCAGGTGGTTTGTCTTTAAAGCAAAATGCAAAACAGCATTTAATTTGCAGTCCAGGCACAAAAAGCAGTTTTATTTCTCTACACTTAAACAGCGTAGCTTGGAAGAACTTTTGGGGGGCTTTTAGCTTAAAAATGCTGCCATCCAGTGGCTATTCGGTGTGTGAAACTGCTATTTTGGGATCTACACCTCTGTAGTGGTTATGCTTTTCTCTTTCAGTCCCAGCCAAAAAATGTGCCAGTAATAAACACATCCCTTCTTGCAGAGAAAAGGGAAGATATTTTTGCTACTTTTAGGATCAAGTACAAAAGTTCTTAAAGATTAACCTACTGCATAGGATGTTGTCAATGCATTTTAATTATCAAAGAGCAAAATCCTCTAAAGGAGAAAATCAGGAGGACCTTGAGTATAAGTCTTCAAATGCATTTGTTAGAGTATGACTAGCGTCATGAAATATGTCACTGCTATTTAGTGTCTGTCTAGGGCTTGGCCTTTAAGTCAAACATTTGAAGTAATTTATTCTGCATATTTACTTCAAGTTATTCCACTTTATTCTGTAAGAATGTGCTTGAGATCTAAGCTATGTTTGAATGTCCTTGAGAACAAGCTTATAAAAAAAAATGAATTTTGGTAAATATCTACTGTAAATAAGCTTGATTTTGCTAATAACACAAAATAGAGGGGGCTTGATAGGATGTTTCTATAGAACACAAGTGCATGCAGCTCAAAAGATGCTTTTTGAAATATCATTTTTAGTGACATTTATCTTTACAAAAAATGTACTGCATATCTTTTTTCTGCAGGGTTGCTTTGTGGGATTTGACCTGGCTCATGCCGTTGGTAATGTAGAACTTCATCTACATGACTGGGGAGTAGACTTTGCTTGCTGGTGTTCCTACAAGGTAAAATAAATTAATTGCTTGAGAATATCTTCCATAATTATAATTCCATGAGGGGTCAGCAAACTAGTGACCATTGATTGAGACTTTTGGACCTTTATCTGAGAGTGTAGATTGCCTTGTAGATTGCCTTTTCATTTCTATTCCACTTGCTACTGAAGTCTCATCTGACAGAGGAAGGAGGCACTAAAATGTTTTTTTCTTATTTAATTTCTGGGCTTCTGAGAAAAAGAATTTTGTAAGTACCAGTTTATTCAATGAGTCTTTCCAGGGCTGATCTAAAGTGAGTAGCAGTGATGGTTTCATGTGTTCTACACTTGTTTTCCCTGAATTTTCTTTTTTTTTTTTTCTTGGTATTTGGAACACAGACACAAAAAGGTGATGGGCACAGGTTAGGCAGTAATTTCCTTGTGTGATTTCTCTAGTCAATACTGGCAGTATTTTGTTTGTCCTGCAAGCTCTGATGACTTTGGCAGATGAATTTGAGTGATGGTGGAACATCTGCTCTGGCTGTTGTCTGATGAGGCCCTCCTCCTATGTAGAGGAAGTCTTGCAGCTACACAGTTTTCATAAATGGTCCCTAAATAAGAGCATATCCTTGTCAAAACTTAAATAATTTCAGACCATTATACAAGGTGTCTTTAGTTTTGTCAACTTCTTTTGACAGAAATTGCTAAGTAGAGTTGGGTGATTCTATTGGGAGTATAAATGCATATTATGATATGGGACTGTTTTGACTTCATTTATTATGGGCTTTTGCCTGTCACATTTCAATTAGCATGTATAAGCCAAGAAAGACATTTTTAGAACTCATCTGAGAATGAATATGCTTTTACCTAGGCCCCCGCTTGGAGACAAATGCTAAGATTGATGCTAAGTTCTTCAATTAGAAACTGTTAGAAATGTTATAATTGCCCTATTTTATAGGGCAGGGTGAGTGAAGGAAAGCTACCCCCTGTGGATAATGAGCACAAAATGCTCAGTGCATGTTGATTTATTTCTTACAGTATTTGAATTCTGGAGCAGGAGGTCTAGCTGCTGCCTACATTCACCAGAAGCATGCCAAGAGTATTAAACCAGCGTAAGTATATGCCTGTACCAAAAGAAAGCATAAAGGTGCTGTGAAGCTAAAATGAGGAAATATCTTCCCTTTGAGTTGAAATCTGAAAGTGAGAAAATGTAAAAGATTGCTAGTCATAGACTGAAGTCATGTTATGTTCGTGGGCGTATGTTGTATATACATATATATGTATATTTATATATAGTGTATAGTTGCAGAAGGCTGAGTTACTCCTTCAAAGAAAGCCTGTTAGGCAAATACTTTTGAGTGATTGCATTAACAAAAAGGGCTGTGCAAGTTAAGATAACTTAGTTATCTGGCTTTGTTACCTCAGGTGAATTTATGCTAATTTTAGCTAATTTTGAAATTGTCAATGTACCTGCTCCCATCTAAAGTAGACTTTTTCCTTGAGATCTACTATCAGTTCTCAGTGAAATGTAATTACAAAAGAGAATGCTTGTAATATTAAAACTAACCTAATCATGCTGATGAGACAGTTTAAAGTAAAGAGAATGCTTAACTTTTTCCTTTTAAAAATGGATTTTTTAAAATAATCATAGTCTCTGGTTGGTGAACAAAATCAAAGCCAATTTCAACTCTGTGTCTAATAGCTCTTTAATGCTGGCATGTTTTCATTAAAATTATATCCACTGGTAAAGCCAGGAAGCATTACACGGAGATCTGTGTTCTCAAAGACTTTATAATCCATGAAAAGCTGTGCTATCAGAATGCAGGTTAGCTGCATTAAAAAAAAATACCTGTTATTTAAAATGTTATATGACTGTAGTCTATATAGGTGTATTAAGAACAGTAGGATTAAGATTTTTAATACATCGACAAATGTAAACACTTTCTGGCTGTAATACCTGGAGAAACTGCTGGCACTTGCTTTTATTTTAGCTTGAAGAAGGCAAACTAAATCAGGTCTCAGAGAGGAAATAATATTATAATAAGTAGCTTCACTGTAGCATGTGCTGGTTTTAGACTGTCTAGACTCTTGGTAGATAACAAAATAACGCTGATGAGTTCTTCTCAGTCACCATAGCAGAAAACTCATTATAATGATATATGACCCGTCATGAGCTGATCTGATCCCCACATGTGAACCCTGCAAAACCTGGCTACTTTTCTGGATTGTTCCACTCAATTCCCTTTCCTCACAGGTTATGCTACTTCAATTTTTTTTGTCCTTGTAGTTGTCCATTGCCTGGTTGCTCTTTGGCCGTCTCCTTTGGGACTCTGGAAATGCAGTGGCCAAGGCTTCAGGGTGCAGCTCACCCTGATGTGCTGGATGTGTTGGGTGGCTGGGGAAGATGCCCAAAGAGGTGTCTTTTGGGTGCCTAAAGGAGCAAGCCCACTAGGATGTGCAGAATAGGAGTAGGAGGAAATGGGAAGGTAAAAACAACAACAGAAAAATACCTCAAGGACTTTGGAGGAGGCTTTTTTTCCTCTGTGATGAGGAAAATGATGAAATTTTGAAGCTTTTGTGAGGGCACTAACTGGGTATTGCAGGTAGGACCTTAAATTAGTTTTTTCCTGAACCAGATTCTTCATACATAGTCATTAACTTGTGTATTGGGCTGGGGTATAGAATGTCTTAAATATAAATGCTTCTGTGCAAAAGACTTTTTCAGCCTGGGACCCAATTAAGGATACAATTCTGAACTTCCCACAGAGACTGTTAACATTATTAAACCGTAGTTATTTCATACTGCCTAAGATCTGATAATCACTCGTTGGGTTGTAAGTAGATAGTACTCCCCCTGGTTGCTTTACTTTTCTTTCTTTTCCACATTGACCAGCCATCCCAGGCTCCAAATAAGGCAGTGAGACAAAGGAAAATTTGTCTATGTCAAAGTATTCAATTTTACAGCTGATTTAAATGCAGAGCAATTTGCTGCATGTTGTACAATCAAATAGAGTGGAATTTAACTGCTCCGCAAGTTGCGGGCTTTATGCTTTATCTAAAGTCTTTGGCTGTCGTCTGAATCAAGGATGACACCCAGTGGCCAGACAACTTCATTCAAGAGCAGAAGCACCCAATGCTTTCCCTCTCTGTGCACCTCAGCCCGCACATAGGCTGATTAAATTCCTGTCTGACAGATCCCCTTTTTGTCCTTTGGGTGTTCTGAAATACTGTTTTTAACTCACGGCAATATTGCAGGATTGGCATCCATATGCCAATATGGATTTTCTCATGTGTGTCATCATTCATTTTTTCTTCAAGCTATTGGTTAGGTAGTTGTTTTTGATATCAGTTATATATTGCATTTTAATATTAAATGTATGTTCTGACCATAATTCAGGGATGCTTATTTACTGCTGCTTTCTTCTAAAATGCAACTAGAGGAAGAAGTTTTTGTTTCTTTAACATTCTTCATTCACCAGGAAAGGCCTTGCTTAAGCCACCTTTTGCTTGGAGTTCAGTCCAAGGTTGTGGCAACCTTTTGCAAAGTGGGGCAACACAAAACGGGTGTTACTTGATAGTGTTGTATGGCAGTGGTGTTGATTTTTGTCTGCTCTTTGCATATCTATAAGCTTCTGGTGAGTTGTTCCAGTCTCAGCACTTTGCTAGTGAAGAATGTTACTTGTGCTCAAGAGCAAGGTTGGGTCCTTGGGCCTGATGTTGAGACTACCAAGGCTGTGAACCTAGAGGTCCCATTTGGCACTCCCTGAAGTACCCTGGGATGCCAGTTTCTTGATACTGGATTTCTTAATTCATGGCAAGGGCCACAGGTCTGTAATTTACATGTAACCATCATCACTAGTATCTTTACCCAAACATGTTGGCCAGTCTTTTGCCAGGCCTCAGTCTTTCTTCCTTTAGCAGTAAAATTGGATCAATCTAACATATATAGGTACAATATTCCTCTTCTCACGTGATCTCAGCTCCTTTGAAGTCTGTTATTAATATAAGAAGAGCTTTTTTTAAAATACCTGCTCTATATATCACATTGCAATCCATTCCTGGCTAATTGTGCTAGGGTCATGTCTCCATGGGAGAATTTCAGAGAGGAAAGGCCTGGTCAGAGCAGAACAACAAAACGGTAGCAAAACTCTTTGGCTAGTTGGTGCCTGCCCTATCCTGCATTGCAGACTGTCCACGTGGACTAGGTTGCAGAGGAGATACTTTCCAAGAGGCAGAGAGCACTAAGATGTCCAACTAATGCTGAAATTGAGCTTGCCTTGCCTCGTGTCCTGGAAAAGCTTCTTTCTCTTGGTTCTGTTCCTCATATTTTTCCATCTATATAATGAAGGAGAATTAAAATTTACTGAACAAATCGGCTGTGCGGAAACATGAATGTTTGTAAATGTGTGGGGTAGGAGGTGGTGGTGAAGTTAGGTCTTCTCGTTGGAGTATCTGTGGTTATAACTATGTAGTGAGTTTAACTTCACTGTCAGCGGCCATAGGAGTTGGGAGGGAGAAACTTGCTGAGCTCTGAGATAGGGGAAAAGAACAGCCCTTGCTGAATCCCTATAATAAAAAGTAAGGCACAATTTAAAAAGATGAAAGGGAAGTAAATGTATGTAAAGCAGCCAGGAGAATAACAGATAAGCCTTGGCAGAGGATTAAATGAAAATTGTACACAGTCTAGTGTTTAAAATGAAAGGATTTATCAAGACTTAACTCTAGCACAGACTTAGCAGCAGGTAGAGTTTAAAAATAAAAAGTTTGTGTGATGTAAAGAAATGCTGTATGTGCTGTATGTCCAAAGAGCGTGTTGGCTTTTATTGCAGGATAAAATTGTATCAAAGAACAAAATAATGAAAAGATAACTATTTTATACTAGCTTTGAGAAACACAGGGTATTTTCAAACAAATCCTTTGCAGACAGGTGAGATATCAACTTTTCTTTTAGATCACCTTCCCTTTTGACTTATGATCCCAATGAAAATGCCAGAGCACATGTGAGAACCTTTTATGAAGACCTGCGTAGTTTTGATATGTGAACCTTTACATGGTATAGAATACACAAAAATAAGATCCACACTGCCCGGCATTTCCACTTTCCCCTTTTCCCAGAAGATCTGCATATTGAAATTTCAATGACAGGTCCTATTCACTCAGCACTCTTAATTTTGCAAGAGACTGCTTGATTCCTTCCAAGGCTAGTAGTTCCTGTTGAGCTTTCCTCTAGTTATCCTCTTGATTGCTGAGGAGGCACCGCATTATTCTAGTCCTCATTAGAGCCACACAGTCCCCAAACAATGGTTTGAAGCCTCTGTGAAAATAATGTTCTTGTGGAATAGTATTATTTTTACTTGGACAAGAAGATGGTCAGAAAAAGTGTGTGAAGGTTGTAGACAGATACGTATAGCATGGTTGTATATATATAAAATATAATGCATGTACATATATGGTAGGTATGGTGTGTGTGTTTGTATAAAGGAGATAAAAATATTTACCATTTTGCAAAGGACTTATGGTTCTCTGTTAAAGGAGTAACCAAGAGTTCTCTGCTCTTACTCAAAATGCTTCTAGGAAAAATAGACCAAAATGGCCAGACTTCAACTGTCCTTTTCTTTCTTTGGAGTCTCCCAGATCTGCCTAGCTTAGCTTTGCTTAAAATTATAGCGGATCAGATCAGCCTGGTAAAGGAGAGGATCTGCAGGAGCGATATAGAGGGCTTCCAGGAAGCTGCACCAAACAGAGCAAGGTCAAAAGTGGTCGCAGATAAAAGTGCATAAGTTTGCAGAAGGATTTGTCACAGGTCCTGCTGCACTCAAATTGCCCAGTAATATATCGGTAAGCGATTTGTGGCACACAACGCTTGTCTCTGAAGTGCATAAAGTATCCCATATTAAGGTAAAAATGAACTGTTTCTTTGCCAAGGAGATGAGAGCAATTTAGCTCCTTGAGCTAATTTAAAAACCAAAAGTTAAAACCTCCCCTGGGAAGAGGCTGTTTAGGAATGAAGGCATTGGCTAATTAGGCTTAATTGCATTGTCTTGGGACAAGTGATTTATTAGGCCAATCTAGGCCCATGATGGGCCTGCAGGGGTGTGTTCTCACTGTCACA